ATGGCCCGATACCTACCTACTCCTAGGTAGAAATCAAAAGGAGTTCTACTTCATGGTACAAAGATATAATAAAGTATAATAAAAACTTTACTAATATGTATCTAATATATTTATAGTAGCTACCATGTGATGACGGAGCAAGTATAGTACCCAATTTTATTCTCTGGGTTTCGTAAGAGACTATGGGAAAGCCAGAAAACCTCATGGTTTTCTATAAATAGCCGGCTACTATTCGTATATTAGGTACTAGCTGATAACCGCGACTTAGTCCTCGTTGCTTGAAATATTAACAAAGTTTTCGTATGTGCGAAGGAAAAAACAACAAAAATATCGCAAGCAAAAATATACTTTGCTTACAAAATTTCTTTGAAAACAATGTTATTCGATGCTACATTTGTGGCCAAAATATATAAATTGTCTGGGTTAGTAATACGAGAGGAAGCGACGTACAGTTGACCGTGTGAAGAACAGCTAAACACTCATCACTGAACACGTAGTGCTTATAAAAATCGTTGTTTCTTAAAACTTTAATACCTTTGTATTAAATGAAGATATCGCAATAATTCTTTATGAGATAAGGGCCCAGTGTCCAAGAAATCAAACTTAGAAAAGTTAATTGAAATCCATCCAGTAGTTTTTCTGTGATGCGCGCACAACTGCAAACCTCTATTATTTTATTTATATAGATAGATAAAGTACCCAGACCACGAGTAGGAGCGTTAGAAGCACGATCCACTGATACGGCAATCAGCAATACTCAACTAAGCGAAGCGATCAAAGCTCATCTTTCTTACATTAAAACTTATCCATTAAGATACGGTACTTAAGAAATTAATATTACACTGTTCTTTTTTCAGTTTATGTATGGATTCTTTCACGGCATCATTTATTAAATGATGTATCTAAAGAGTTGGCTATGAAACCGTTGTCACAAATAGGGGTGGTTCCTGAAAAGTTAGTAAAAGATAACTGGTCTAACTGCGTTCCAAAATATTACGACGACCAAGGCACGGATCCTATGACCTTTAGATACGCAGTCCCTGTAGGCTTAACAAAATAAAGTTATACAATATGTATAGTGTTTTATTAAGAAACCTTTTTATGTAACGGACAATGAGATAAAAAAAATTGACTGGTAAATGTACAATGTCAAAAATGGAAATTTATGTTTTTTTTTATTCTTTTTGGAAAACTTACAGCTAACATTAACAATAATTAAATGAATAACAACTAGAAGGCCAGTTAAAAGTTTTCACTTATAGACAATACGAACTTAAAAACAATAATTCTAGCCGGTAAATGATAAACATCGATTAAGATAAATACAGTAAATTAACAAGATTAAGCAGAAGAACACTCAACAAAAGATTTTTTCGATAAAATATTTTTGATTCGAGAAACACTGGTATTAAACAGATCCAAGTCAACGCTATTGGAAATGTCATAAAAAGTTCTGCATGCACGTATCATAAAAGAATTATGCCTGTATTTAATAAAGCTATACGGCACATGGAGTAAGCGACGCTTTGTTAATAGGGTAGCTATTGTTTTAAAGCCTAACTTACTTAGTAACTCCGAACAGTCAACATTACCATTTGCCAATTTAAAAAGATAAATCATATCTGCTATGCGCTTACGTTCGTGTAGAGGCAAAATATGAAATTTTATCTTCTAGACTGTAAGTTCGTTGGTCTTTTCAGTTTTATTTAAAAAAAAAAACATTGTGTTTTAAAATTATTGGTAGGTGCTATATTTATAATTAAAAAAAAAACATACTTACATTAACATTGAAAGTAAAATTAAAATTTTATTATTTTAAGGTTTGTATTTCTAAAAATTAAGTCGTACAGTTAGTATGAGGGAAGTTAGGTTAAGAAACTGATGCTCTGTCACCTAAACAACGCTAGATAGAATATAACTTTAGTGTAACGTAGATTTTCTGCCGACTTCCAAAAAGTTAAAATTGCATCTTAAATTGCAGAAAACGTAGAAAACGCTTTTTTACTTGCTCAATCCTATCTATATAAACGTTATAATTTGGGTTCCACACTTAGAGTCGTACGCTAAATGGCTGCTAACAAGAGAGCAATAAAGTATCTTATATGTTTTAATATTATCAAAGTCCAGAATTAAATTAAAAAGAATCCAGGTGCTAAACGACTATAGACTAGTAAACAAACAAATAGGCTCAATTTTCATAAATATAGTAAAGTTTTAAGAAAATGTATCCATACTCACAAAAAATTCATAACCATAAATTAATATTAAACAGTAAAAATATAGGTAGAACAACTTGCAATGCCATTTCTTCAACTGTGTCTAACAAGATGCATAGTGATAATAACAATATGATTACTATAAATAATTTTACACATTCTGATCCCCAATACATTTGTTACTCCTTTAATGATTGTTTTAACACTGAAACCACCAAACAGACGCCTAACCTTGACAATACTCACAAAAAGATTGATTGAAATTCTCGTACAATATATTTAAAACCGACTAATGAAAACGAAATTAACAATATCATAATGTCACTAAAAAATAGTAAATCCTATGGGCATGATGGTATCATTACTAAAGTATTAAAATTAAGTGATTATCATATATGTATAGCTCTAGCTCATATTATTAACTTGTATTTTGAAGAGGGTGTATTTCCAGATGATCTCAAATTATCTATAGTTCATCCTTTGCATAAAAAGGAGATAAACAAGATATAGGCAACTATAGATCTATCAATTTGGTTTCGGTATTGTCAAAAGTGTTTGAGAAAACAATGCTTAAAAGGCTTAATGATTTTATAAGTAATTGTGACATATTACAACCTGAACAATTTGGCTTTCGTAAAAATAGTTCTACATCTCTTGCTTAGTTCGAATTTATAAAATATTTACCTGAATGTATAAATAATAATACTGTTTCTTGACATGACTTGCGTCTTTAACTTTGTAAATCATGAAAAACTCCTTCATAAACTAGAATCATATGGAATTAGAGGGAACGCGTGTGCAGGGCTTGAAAATTGTTTAAAAAATAGAAGGGAGGGTAAAGAGATAACAAAAATGACACAAAAAATAACATTTTAAGTAAAGAAACAAAACATTTTAGTTAAAGAAAAAAGTAGTATGGGCCTTTATTATTTTTATTGTATGTTAATGACCTTCCCAATGCCACTTCACACAAATGTATCCTTTTTGCAGACGAAACTACTATAATAGTTAAAACTAGTGGGATTAATTCATTAGATTCGCTTACAAATACGACATTAACGAATATCATAGAATGGTTGGAGGCTCATTATTTAAGGGTCAATCTACAAAAAACGAAAACTTTTCAATGTAGGTCATACAGGTCATCTAAACAACACTTTAATATTTTATATGACAATAACAAAAATGATGAAGTAGATAACTATACATTTTTAGGAGTAAATATTGATACACATCTGAACTGGAAGGAGCATATTGATATCGTTTGTAAAAAGCTTCAACGATTCACTTTTGCTTTAAACGTGTTAGGCAAAATATATCATTTGAGGCTGCTCTCACCGCGTACCATGGCTACGTATCATCGGTGCTTAGCTATGGGATATTGCTTTGGGATAACTCTGTTGAGATAGAAAGAGCATTTTTAGTTCAAAACGACGCGTTTGTGCCTTAAGAAACATTTGGTATTAAGATAGTTGTAAACCTTACTTTAAAACAATATAATATTCTTCCATTACCTTGTTTATATATCAGAGAAGCCTGTCTTTTTGTCAAATCATTCCCTAAGTATTTTAAAACTCGCCAAGATACTACAACAAGGCGTTTAAGAAGTAAATATGCAGACCCAATATATCAACCTCCTTGTCATAAAAATATGTATAAGAGAAATATATATATAACATGAGCAATTATTATACATTCAAAAATAATTTAACGAAATGGTTACTGGAAACTTATTTATAAAAATATAAGAATATTTTTAGAATGGAAAAATTAGTTTAATGATTCATGTGCTCTACATGTAGATAGTTTTTATTTTTATTTTATGTACCTAAATATTTGCACGTCTACGAGCAGACTAAATACACATACCTTATAGATATTTAAATGTATACCCTGTCAACTGTGTTTTATGCAAATAAGGAATTTTTATTTGTATTTGCTGTATTGTCTTTTATAATGATATTGTCAATATCTGCATCAAATAGTAATTTAAAATCGTAAAATATATCAAGATCGCTAATGATTGTAATCTCTCTATACTAGTGTCTTCTAATTTGTAGTGAAAGACAGAGGGATTGGGTTTACAGGTAAAAGTAAGGATAATACACTTGGCACATTCAGGAAAGTTTGTTGCATGGACAATATCATTCAAGTTCATTGAGATCACGCTGCAGACCAAGGCAGTCAGAAGTATTTGTAAAAGGACATCAAATTTTCATGTCATCAATATAAAGGATTATTTTGGAGTAAGTAAATCAGATTCCTGCATCATTTATAAAAAACGCAAAAAGCAATTGACGCGCGACAGCGATCCCTGCGGTATTCCTGAAGGGATTTGCACAGTTGCTGACGTATAACCATTGAGTACTTCTTTCTGTCAACGATTCTCGATATAAGACTTAAAACACCAAAACAGATCGCCGTTGATACCTACTTAGAGTAGTTTTCTGAGAAGTATAACGTGATCTTAATGGTCGAACGCTTTACTGTTATCAGTGTAGACTAGACATAAACAGTCATTTTAAAAGTTTTGTCAGTCTGTCTGTTTATATGGGCTAATCTTTAGACGGTTAAACTAAATGTGATTAAACTTTACAAACAGATATACAGCAATGCCAGAAAGAATCAAGGCTACAGTTTATATGAAAAATTTCAAAAAGTTTGAAAAAAAAAGCGAAAATCTTATACAATTATTATTTTTTGATTGTCTTAAATTTAAATAACCCCTCTCATCCATCCAATTCCATCGAGGTGATGTCATATCATATACGATACAGAATACTTTCACAATTCATCCCTTTGGACTTCTTTATTATCCTCAGCCTGTACGTGAGCTGTCCAATGACATTTACATGTTTCTTCATTCTGTTGCACTTGCTCCAAATAGGCAGTACTAATATATGGTATAGAATTTATGTCTCGGTATGCTGTCTCCAATATTTCAGGTGCTAGAATTTTGTATCTTGATAATATCCAGGCTGAAACTGATAGAATATCTGAATCAATTATAGACCTTCAAAAATAAATAAATTAATGTTTAATATGTATACAAGAAGCCGTAGTAACTAAGGGGTAAAGCGTTTGCCATAAATTTCACAGTGAATTTCACAGACGTGACCAGGGTTCGATCGCCGCCAGCAACTATCAATTTGTGAATTGCAATTTTAAGTGCTGTTTTGCCACGAGCTCTGTCTGTTATGGAAATTAGAAAAGCCAGCTAATAAATAGTGGGACAGCGCGGTCGGCACTTCCTTGCCCTAAAACTTTCACACAAATAACGTATATAGACAGTAATTTTACTTTTAATTTACATGCATATAATTTGATAGTTATAATATGAAGAAATAACTTTGATATTCATAATAATATCATATGGGTATAATGGGTTATAGAAAACTGAAAATAATCTATACTTATAATAAATCTGTAGAGAGGTCAATTCTGTACATGAAATATATTTCCAAAATAACTATCAGGGGTAATTAGTGATCGATACTGATGCCAAAAATGCAAACAGTAAAATTTTTGTCTGTCTGTCTGTCTGTATGTTTGTTATAGAAACAAAAAATACTCGAAGGATTTTAACAAAACTTGGTACAATCATTCTTCATACTCCTGGGCAGGTTATAGTATACTTTTCATCACGCTACAATTAATAGGAGCAGAGCAGTGAAGGTAGATGTTGGGGAAACGGTAGAAATTACTCCATTTTTTAAGCTTCCGCCGCGTGTGCAGCCTTAATGGTTAAAGCTACACAGAAATCATGTATAACGGAAATGTTCTTCTTAAAATTATATAAAAAATATCCCACGACAGCATATGACAGCATATCTTTTATGGTTGACTCACAATAACATGTGTAACTCCCGATAGCTTAGCAGTTCGGAGCTTTCTGATTATATTTGTCTACTCTTACGTTTATAACACTCTCACTCATCCCTAATTATATAATATTTGGTTGTTGATGCGAACAGACGTTCAGAGTGTTCGACCTTATTGACAGACAATAACTGAGTTTAACAAACCGTGCTTATCAGCGCGACTTTTAGTCTACTCTTACGTTTAATAATTTATTTATAGATTTCTTTGGTTGTTATTTTATAAATTAGGTATTAGTTATTTTGTTAGTGTTTAAATATTTCTTAGTATTAGCTTAATTATAAATTAAACCTTTTTTTATTTAGCTGTAATTTTAAATAGGTACCTAGGTATCAAATAGGTTATTTCATTCTATTAGACGTAGTTTAGGTACCTACTTATGTATTTTTAAGAATTTAATTTTGGATTTAAGGATTTATTTAGGATCCTTTTTATTATTTAATTAGGCATTTAGATTTTTTTAAGTGTATGGTAGCTATAGTTAGGACCTCTAACGTAGATTATTTTGTTAGGTAACTGAATGCTATCGATTAAAAATAAAATACACAATGCTATCTAAAAACGATTATCTTTATCTCGAAATTCGAGAGAAGCTAAGAGAATGAGAAATGTGCGTTCTCAAGAATCGGCAGAGGAAAGAGCACATCGGTTAAACTCTATGAGAGTTAGTGCCTCAACTTCTCGAGCCAATGAAAGCTCTCAAGAAAGAGAGATGCGATTAGCAGCTGACAGAGCAAGACAAGCTACATCACAGGCGTCTCAAAGTTCTTCTCAACGAGAGCTAAGGCTTACCATTGACCGAGAACAACATGTGTTATCCCGAGAAGCTGAAACTGCTTCACAACGAGAATTGCGGCTCACACCTGACCGCGAACGGCATACATTATCTCGCGAGTCCGAAACCTACACTGAGAGGGAATTACGTCTCACAGCTGACCGCGAACGGCATATGTGTGGCGGATCTTAAGTTTCAACATTCACGAAAGATATCCACCTGTGACTCATCTGGATGTTCATCTTGAAGGCGATCAACGTATATATTTCAACGCCGAAAATGTTACAGAACGATTAGAGAACCCTAGACAAACAACTTAATTAGCATTCTTTCGACTTTGCCAAACTGATGATTTTGCAAAATCTCTTTTGTATGAGGAAGTTCCATCATATTATACCTACGATAAGCAACGAGGTGTCTTTAATCGTAGACGCCGTGGCAGGCCTGTAGATGGCGAGTCAGGTATTTTCAAAGAACATGTTGAGTTCTAACAACGCTGAGTGTTTCTATTTGCGATTATTATTACATACAGTGCGAGGACCAACATCATTTATAGATTTGAGAAAAGTAGACGATGTTGTTTATCCAACTTTTCATGCAGCTTGCCAAGCGCGTCGTTTGCTTGAAAATGATCAGCATTGGGATGACGCTTTAGCAGAATCCTGTGTTAGTGATAATCCACGACGGTTACGCCATTTATTTGTAACATTACTCACATTTTGTAATTTGTCAGATGCTGTACAATTATGGAATAACATAAAGAAAAATTTGCAGAAGACTTTCTTTGGAATATATCTCACAATGATGAAGGCGCAACTAATGATAATTTCCGTGATCTTGCCATAAATCTGCGCTTATTAGCTCTTCAGGAAGACTTAACAGCAGTAGGCGGTAAATCACTCTGTGAATATGGTTTGCCAACACCAACCTCAGTCGGAGAGGTTACCAATAGGGAATATTCTGCAGATTGGTTACAACTCAATGGAACTGCTAGCAACATTAGAAAACGGTGTCCCAATGATGACTGCAGAACGACGTTCAGTCTATGATCGTGTGTGCGAGAGTGTTCAGAATAATTCTGGAACAATATGGTTTTTAGATGCACTTGGAGGAACTGGGAAAACCTTTTTGACTAAATTAATATTAGCTTATATTCGAAATCAGCGTAAAATTGCTCTTGCCGTGGCTTCATCAGGTATAGCTGTAACATTGCTACTAGGAGGTAAAACTGCTCACACTATGTTTAAAATACCAATTGATTTAGAATAGAATAGAATAGAATGATTTTTATTCAATATGGATTATTACATAATACTTATTGAAAGTCATTATTTTATTTACCACTGGTTCGGAAAATACCTCTGTCCTGGGAAGAACCAGCAAGAAACCCAGCGGGACTTTTTTTTTATAACAATAATTTTGTTTATACAATTTTAAATGAATTTTCATAGAACCAGCATGGTGGCGATCACCTTATTAACAGGGGTTATTTTCATTCATGTATTCCTTGATATTATAATAACCCTTTTTGTACAGTTTTTCTTTAATAAAACTTTTAAACTTGTTTATTGACAAACTTTGAACATGTTCTGGGATTTTGTTGTAAAAGCGTATACATTGCCCCATAAATGAATTACTGATTCTGTGGAGTCTAGTAAGTGGCATTACAAGCTTATGTTTGTTCCTAGTGTTTAAGGTATGAACATCCTTATTCTTATTAAAGCTATTTATGTTTTTATGTACATACATTACATTTTCATAAATATATTGCGATGCCAAAGTTAATATGTTTATTTCTTTAAATTTTTCTCTGAGGGACTCTTTACAATTTAGATTATAAATCGCCCGTACGGCTCTCTTTTGCAAAACAAATATAGCTTCAATATCAGTCGCATTACTCCATAGCAAATTTCCATAAGACATTACGCTATGAAAGTAACTAAAATACACCAACCTAGCTGTCTCAACATCTGTGAGACTTCTAATCTTTCTTACAGCATATGCCGCAGAACTAAGTCTGTTTGCTAATTTAGATATATGGGGGCCCCATTGAAGTTTCGCGTCAATAGTAATACCGAGAAAAATAGTGGTATCCACAAGACTCAACTCCTCCCCATTTAAGAGCACATTGGTTTTCGAATGTTTTACATTAGGTATTGTAAATTTAATACATTTTGTCTTATTGCCGTTTAAGAGCAAATTGTTGGCGTTAAACCAATGTACTAGTTTCGATAGAGCATTATTTACATCGTCATATTTAATTGACTGCCGTTTCAGTTTGAAAATTAAAGAGGTATCGTCAGAAAATAATACTATATCGTGATTGTCCCCTACAAGATAAGGTAAGTCATTAATATAGATTAAGAACAGGAATGGGCCGAGAATCGATCTCAGGGATCGATTCTCGGAACGCCCATTGATACTACCGATCCGGAGGAACAATTACCATTGATGACGACTTTTTGAGTTCTGTTACTTAAATATGAAGTAATAAGTCTAAGCGCCAAATTTTTTACACCGTAATGTTGTAGTTTCCTGATTAATGTATCATGATGAATACAATCGAAAGCCTTGGAAAGGTCACAGAAAATACCTAAGGTATCTTGTGAATTCTCCCAGGCATTAAAAATATATTTCATAAGCTCAACACCGGCGTCAGACGTCGAGCGACCCCTTGTATAACCAAATTGATTTTTATGAAGTAATTTATTTGTATTAAAAAAAATTAACAATTGATCCAAAATTATTTTTTCAAAAATTTTACTGAGAGTTGGTAGTACAGAAATAGGTCTATAATTAGCGGGGTCCAATGTACTACCAGATTTAAATAAAGGTATTACTTTACTACACTTCATTAAATCAGGAAACACTCCAGAATCGATACAAGTATTAAAAATAATAGCAAGATGAGGTGCAATTAAATCTATTATGGACGCAATCACTGTAACCCCCACAAATCTGCGGTTTTCTTCACATCAATGGTTTTGAAGTATTTTACAATATTATGCGGTAATACTTTTTCAAATCTAAATTCTTTTAAACAGGTATTAACATTCTGTTTAAATAATGACTCGGCGACAGTTGGAGAAGTATTCAATGACTCTGTTGTCAAGATAGGAACATCAGTGAAATATTTCTCAAACACCGCTGCAACTTCTTGATTTGATTTAGTCAATTCATTATTAATTTTTAATTGATAGTTTGAGTTACGACGTTTCTCTTTACCGGTTTCGCTGTTAATTATACTCCACGTCATTTTAACTTTATTCTTAGCTGTCTTAATTTAGTTACTAATATGTAATGATTTGGCTGTGGAGCAAACTCTTTTAAATATTTTAGAATAATTTTTTACATATTCTTTAAAAGCATCGGAAAGATTATACGATCTTTCATGGTAAAGGTCATATAACCTTCGTCTGCTTTTATGAATTCCTACTGTCGCCCACTCATTAAATGAAGATCGCACGGAAAGTCCAACCTGTAGTATTTCAAGAAATAGCGACAAAGCTAAGGTATTACGTGAGTGTAATTTAATCATATGGGATGAATGTACGATGGCCCACCGAAAAGGAGTAGAAGCGGTAGACAGAAATTTAAGGGATGTAAGACAAAATGATCGACCAATGGGCGGTATCACGGTTTTATTTTGTGGTGATTTCCGACATACCTTACCGGTAATACCACGGGGAACCCGAGCTGATGAGGTTAGGGCTTGCCTAAAAAGCTCTTATTTGTGGCGTAATATACAATAGGTTTTTGTTTTACTATAAACATGCGAGTGAGAACTGGAGATAACCCGGATGATTGTCAATTTTCTGATTAATTATTTAAGATTGGGGAAGGTACCTATCCACAACTACACCAAGAAAAACTTATTTTGACGCCTGAGTTATGTTGTATAGTGCAATTCCAACCACATCTTATATCGTCGGTTTACGGTGACGTAACAATTATATTAAATAGTGACAATTTTTGGCTATGCGAAAGATCCATTTTAACTCCTCGAAATGACCAGGCATCTGAGATTAATAACAAAATACTGTCGAATATTCAGGGGGAAAGCAAAGTTTATAGTTCTATAAATAGAATGGTCGATGAACAAGAAGCTTCTAATTATCCGATAGAATTTTTAAATTATTTAAATATGCCCGGACTTCCTTCTCATGAAATTTGTTTAAAAATTGGCGTTTAGATTATTCTGCTCCGAAATTTAAGACCACCACAACTTTGCAATGGAACTCGGCTAAAAGTAACCCAGTTGTAACAAAATATAATCGAGGCTCAAATTTTAACAGGTTGCAGTGCAGGAGAAACCGTCTTTATTCCCAGAACTCCCATAATACCAAATAATTTTCCATTCCAATTTAAAAGAACGCAATTCCCAGTATCATTGTGTTATGCAATGACAGTTAATAAGGCTCAAGGGCAGACTTTTCGTGTTGCTGGAGTAGATCTCGGTGTCAGTTGATTCTCGCATGGTCAGTTGTACGTCGCTCTTTCCCGGGTTAGCAGTTCTAGAAATCTTTATGTTCACGTGCCGGACGGGTCAACTTTCAACATAGTTTACCCGGAAGCTTTGCGCTGAAGTATTTTTGTTCTATAAGTACTTAACCCTCATGTGAACGTGATCTAAACAATATTACCAATATATTAACTTAATAACACACAAGGAGTTACAATCCATCCAAAGCCCAGTGACACTATAACATATATAGGAATGACGTCTTAGCAAAAGTTGTTTAGTCTGATGGGCATTTCCTGTCGACTTACAAAAAGGAAAGATCTAGAACGTCTCGAATCGTCTCGCGAATCACGTTGTTTTCCCGTCCCCGGCCTCTTAGAATTCAACATCAGACGTTTCAGATCTTCGATTTTGACAACCCCGTTGTCGCTGGCATAAGCATTAGGATCCGCGTACGAAGTCGCGGGCAGAAGCTAGTTTAGTCTAAAATTTTATTTTTTATTATGAGGTGTGTAATAATCCCAGTGTCAGGAATCTAACTCTCTTTTTTTCATGGCTGTTATTATGTCTTAGATTAGTGTCTAGGTTTAGTGGCAGCCGTGGGACATTTAGAACTGTAAATTGAACTAATGTATACTCACAATATTTAATATCCAACTCTTCGTTGTTTCTACAGCCGTAGACTACTGCATAGTTAGTATAATCTGTTGCTATTACAGATAGAGGAATGCCTAATGGATCTGAAAATATAATGTATTATTATTATTATTCTATTGTTTTTAAACAGTACAACTATGATGAGAATAAAGTTGAGATTGGTGTAATCTTCTTTACCACAGGCTTTTTTAAAGAATTGAAAAACAGAATTGCATTACTTAAAACATTTGCCTGATACGGACCACGCTGAGCAGGCGTATTGATGATTGACCATTTATGTCTCTATAATTACGAAATTAGGTGAGATTTTGGTCAAACGTTGGTCTATTAAATTTGATAAAGTTTTTAATTGTTGAATTCGGCAATCCCTGGATAAGACTTGTGATCAAAAGAAGTTGTAATGAAGAAATTGAAAATAGAAAGTTGAGGAACAATATATGTCTTTAATGCATTTGTTATTTTTATATTATAAAATAGTCAAGTGCTTAAGATTAAAATGAGTTTGTCTGTATTAAATAAATATTATGATAATTGCCCTCTACGTTGCAATTCCTACCGTACATTCTCGAATAAAAGGAATATTATTGGCCGTGTGGTTACTGTGAAAGACAATCCACCACATTATTCCGTGTAGTGGCTATGACAAAAGGCGAGTATGGGAAATGTTAAAGAAATCTCATTCACCATTTAATTTTTTATTTCAGTGAAAATTATACAAACCGGCGACGGTGAGTAGTGTCAAAGGTGCGAGATATATGTTACTTCGATCGATACTCCGCCTTTCAAAAGTGTTGTTGGCAAATTCCACTTACGTTGAGTGATGATCATATCCAGCAGTGGACTGTTACAGGCTGATGATGAAGTTCATCAGAAAAATATGTTGTAATTAACTGCCTAAACCGAAAAGGATCTGATAAATCAGTTGACAAAAATGCAAAAAAAAAAAGAAATTGTTAAAAAATTGGAGAATATGGAAAGGAATATCTAAACATTAATATGTTACAAAATATATTTTTTTGTTCATACGAGTATGACATAATCATTGAGTATACAAAAAATGCAGACAAAATCAAGTTCCTTGTTGTCTAAACACATTTTAATATCATGCACAAGAGTACTACTGGCATCAAATGTAATTAAATTAAAATAAAACACATATTAATTAATAAATGCTTGCAAATAATGGATCGATATGAGCAAAACGAAAATAAGCTGAATTTTGCAAATAAAAATTAAATATCGGACCAAATTTTAGTTTTGCCTAATTTACTTAGTACCGAAGCTTCTTATTACCGAAGAGAAACAATGTTGTTGATGTCACTACATATACTATACTATTTACTTATGTAAATATATGTAGTTGTTACAATACCTATGTTATTCTTTTCAAGGGTAAACACGGCTTCATCTCCAGGAGCATAGGAGCTATTAACGTGTAAAATGAACTGAATCCCTTCTCTTACGAAACCATATTCAATTTCGATTCTTCTGCCGCATGCTTGGAAACGTTTGTATGCGCATTGCGCGTGTTCTTCATACCATATCGGAATCCGTTCTATCTCGTACCATACACCAAGAAACTGTGATATAGGAAATATTTGGTAAGTTACAATAAATTTCTATTTGAATAACTTTCGGCTGAAACTATTTAGATCTTCTTTATCTATACAAATAAATAAAATTGAATTGTCTGTTTGTAATGTCAAAATAACAGCTTTTCACTCTATGCATATAAAAGTATATGTGATAGTTAAAACAAAAACATGATTTTAAAATTTTTTGTCTGTCTGTCTATCTGTCTGTTTGTTCCGGCAAATCTCCGAACCGGTTGGACCGATTTTGACCGAATTTTTACTAGCAGATAGCTGATGTTATAAGAAGTAACTTAGGCTACATTTATTTTAGAAAAAGAATTAGGGTACCGTGCATAAAATTAAAACCCATGAAATCCAATCGTAATAAATTACGTGCGGGCAAAGTCGCGGGGAACAGCTAGTCTTGAATATAAATCTGTCCATCCAACCATTTCTACTCCTGAATATAGTCCACCTTATAGGAAGAATATTTGGTTTAATTGCGATACTTGGCAGGCGGACTGCAAGTCGAAGTTTTTTGTTATTTTAAGTTATTATCAGAAACACGCTGCTGTCCATCTCCTGTTGTTATTTCCCTCTGTCGCCTCTTAAGATATTCCTCAGATGATATCGGGTAGTTGATTCTCTTGCCACGCTTTACATGGCAACCTACATATTGGGTTTTTATTGCTTGGCGCAATGATTTAGCGCAAAATTTGTATTTTATTGGAGTATTTTACTTTAAAATAAAAGCATTAACTAAAAGCAAATTTATTTAATACTTACATATTATGTATACATAACATACATACATATAAATATTGTGTCAGTGTATGGAATCCCTCTATTAGGAATGTCATAAGAATCGTATTTTATAATGACCAATATATACGCACATTTCTTATGACAAGACTGTGAATGGGCAAAATGCTCTTTTATATTATAATTATAAAAAAATAAAAGTAATTTTTATCGTGGAGGTTTACGTTCATAAGTTACAAGTGTCCAGACCTTGAAAAATTATTCGCAGGCTAAGAAAATACTTTTTCTGAACAGGATTCGAACCCACTGCAACTCAATGTTAAGCCACTGCGCCATTGTTTTGGATTTGAAAGCTTAAAATTACATGAACTGGTCCAGAGACATTGAACGGCAGGTAAAATCTTTTAAGATATAAGTAGTTCACACATCAATTGTTACGGCCTACGGTTGCTCCCTTAAAGGATCCAATCCCCCGGGGCCCATCAGCAGAAGACTTCCCGAGCAAACGTAGGTCGGGCCTCCTAAGGCCACGTGGAAGTTCTCTAATTACACTAAATATATGGGGGAGCGTTATACTACGGCCAGTCGACCGGAAGGAATTTGGCGGAGTTCACTTACCTCTATCCAAGGCGACTGGTTCCTCCGGAGTCGGTCAGGTCGCATGTGGTTGTGTAGTGCAAGGGAAAGAATGGTGATGTGGTGTGTATCTGGGTGTGACTGATGGTGATTGAACCTAGACCTTAGCCGTCGGCAGCAGCCCGAGCGTCGACACCGCTCCAACTTGAGGGGGCCTTTCGAGGTTATCCACAGTCACTTTCTTGGTTCACCACGATGCTAGTCACTTAACTCTATCGTACTATTAACTAGCTTACAGAAGCCACTAACTATCGCGGGGTATAAGGTTACCGCACAAAACACGCCCGGAGTTTCTGGGTCAAAGGTCACTACCGTTTCGCGTGGCAATAGATAAATTCTAAATACAGAGGCCGCACTAGCTTATATTGTCGAATGCACTTATACAGATTCTGAGTCGGACCCAATAAGTCCCGGGAAAGGCTATCCAAACAGGGAATGCGCGTTATAATTCCTAGACAGGATATTTACTAGACGCCCTAACTATTCCGCGGTTCCCGCACAAAATTAACAGCGTGCAAACATTAGCACATCCGGCCGATGACTGACTCGCTTGCGACCCGCGCGCCACTGCCAAGCTCGGAAGAACTTCAGACCGGAATCGCGCCGAGCCGAGTGACATCTGGTGTCGATTCCGACAACAGAGTTTTGCGCGAACAAACCCCCGTCCCGGACATAAGGATTTAGGTCCGCGAGCAAACCGGTCAGCGGGACAAGGTCGCGAAGGCAAGTTGCAAGACCGAATCTACAACCAAACTAGGCCACCTTAGGCATCCCATCAGATCTTGCAACCCTAACCAGCGCCTCAAAAAATAGCCCTAATGTGGCAAGCCGGAGGGTCAGCCTCCACTGGATGCCCCTCCTGGGCATCGCAGCACTTTAACAAGTCCTGTACTGGACAGAAGTCCGACGACCTCCTTCAAAAACCTATCTGTGCCCCTATGAATAGTTCCGCAATCCGACCGGATCAGCTCTGCAAACAGCGACGCTACACGAAGCTGCCCCGACAAATTTTGTGCCAGCAGTTGCTTCAGTGCAGAGCGCACCCACAAATTCCACATGAACGTCGTCTGTGGAGAGCCAAACGAAACGCACAGATAGTCCCTAGTATGAATTTTCAACAAGTAGGCCTAGCCAGGCCACCCACCATATTATCATTTACTAAAATAGCGCGGCAGCTGATTTCAATCAGATAATCTCCAAAACTAGCTAGCCTGTTAGGCAAGTAGTCCTATGCTCATATTTCAACTAATTTCTCAAAAGCATCAATGTTCAACTACAGAATTAATTCAACCAAATTAATCACCGATGCGCATAGGTCAACTTGAAAATTAAACAAAACAATAACGTAAGGGACAGCCCTACTTCTTCGCAAAGCAAAATGATTAAACACTATCATAAACATAAACATAATTTTTCAAATAGTGCGCCATTCCATTTCAGATGAATTCAAATTTTCCTTTCAGCAAACAAACGCAACAATCAAATACAGTGATTAAATATATGTACAAAACACATGCAGTAGCATTTAAAGGAGTAGATTAAATTCAATTCTTTTAATTTAAACCGCTACAAATAGGAAAATTTCGCGGAAAGCCCAAAGCAATTTTTAATTTTAATTCAAGTATTTTTTGACTAAGTGCTCGACCAAACCAAATCTAATACCCCTTGACAACGTGATTCAACGCTCCAGAGGGGGCCCTAATCTTCCCACCACTAAGGGGAGGCCACATGGCGTGAACCCGAGATAAATAGAGCACAACCTTTAACAGTTGCCACTCGGGTTGTACGCCTTCACTGAGGCCGTCGGCAACAGAACATTTTGACAAGTGGACTGTTGACGGCTTAAGGCTCAGTGGAGGCGGCCGTGGTGGGAACTAGGCAGCAGCTAGACAGGGCCGCCTCCATCAAATGGGGAACAGTGGTACACCAGTCGCGGCCACTCAGCTAACGGAAGTGAGAAGGGTCCAGCGGACCGATGAGTGGCCGTGAAGTTCCTCTCCACACGCTGAGGGGGGGTGATGACACCCCCGCCCCTGGGGGAATTACCCCCCAACTGCTTGGGGGAGGGGCCCCTTTCAAACTTAGGGGCCTGGTGGCTGGCCGGCGAGCGCCGATTGTCGCCCAGCAGAGGGCGTGGCTGAGCGCCCCCGCCCGTGGGGGTCGAGGGCCTGGCAGAGCCCCGAGAGGAGACGCCGTTCGCACCCAGGCACAAAACGGCATGGTGATTGCCCTGGCAATGCAGACAGGGCCGTCGATGCGGACAGTCTCGCTGGAGGTGCCCTCCCAGACATGACCAGCACCAGCGGCGCTCCTTGGCGATAGTTCGCCTCGCAGGAACCGGCTTACCTAATAATTTCGGGCACAACGTTACCCGGTGATCAGATGCTCGACAATAGGAGCAGGGGGAGGTTGACGACGACTTGCCTGGCGGGTTCAGCCTCTCACTGGGCACGTCTCGTAAGTCGTCAACGGTGCCCGCCGCGTTCTCGATCTGCCGGCACTGCTCCTCTAAAAACCGCAGCAGGTCATAGAAGGGCGGAATATAGGAGGCCTCGTCCCCGCCGTACCTCTCCTCAAAATGGATTCGAAGGTTGAGAGGTAGACGGGACAGCACTATGCGGAACAACAAAAAGGCCCATTCGCCCACTGGTAAACCCAGCCGCCTCAACGTATTACAGGCCACCAAGACTGGATCCAACAGGTCCGGACGCAGTCTGGCCCGGTCACTAAGCAGCGGGAGGCTTAGAAGCTGCTTAACATGCTCGTCTGCAATTCGCCGGACGTTGGCGTATCTTCTGGCTAGGAGGTCCCGAGCAGTCTGGTAGGCGTCGTCCGACAATTTCAAGTGGCCGACGACGCCCAGGGCCTCCCCCTCCAGTGAGGCCAGGAGGTACGCCATCTTTTGTCTCGGGGTCAAGTCACTCCGGGCGTCCACTAGGCTGTCGAAAAGACCAACGAAGGTCAGCCATTCGGAAAAGACCCCGGAGAACTTTGGCAGGTCCAGAGTTGGGAGTCGTCCCAACAGCTCCGGCTGAAGCTGCTTCAGAGAGGACTCGGGCAGGTTACTCATCCGAGCTTCACGCGCCTCCTCGGCATACCTGCCTTCAGCCTCGATCAACTCGTCCGTGAGCCACAAGAACTGCTCATAGTCCGCAAAGCAGGAGTCCAGGACTCCCTTCTCCACATCCGAATCCTCGAGTTCAGCGTAAGCCTCCTCCACTGCGGCCCTTCGAGCATCCACCTGCTCGAACTGCTTCATCAAGTTATGGACCCTATCCGGTCGACCTATCAAAGCATGGGCGCTTGTGGCCCAGCGTAGCTCAGTCCGCAAACAACGGATAAGTAGCTTGGGCGATGTCATCACTATTAAATGCAAATTACGACGCGGCTTGAGCACAGTTTACAAAGATAACAAATAAAAAATACAACAAAAAATTAACAGTTAATAAATGCAGTTCCTATCAAATCGCGTTGAATAGAAATTACACAAATACGAATTGCTACGTATCAACCAAATACAAGTTAGCACAAAAAAGACACAAATCAAATTAACAAATAACAAATACTAGTGCGATCGAATCAAGTTAAATTCAAATTGCGCAAATACAAATTACTACTATTTAGTTCAAATACAACTTACAGTATAAACGAAGATACACATCACGGTCGATCAACAAAAAATGCCTAGCTCGGAAATCGAACCTTCGATAAGTAATCCACTACAACTCTCCGACAACGATAATTAACCGATTACGTAAAAATAACCATCTACCTACATGACGTATATCTCTAGAAAATCTCCCGCTTGCACAACCTAGGGCGCGGCTTTTCAAATTACCCTCTAACCAAAAAAAAGGCAAGCAACAAAGCAACAAAGGAAAATAATTCTATTATTACGTACAAAAAAAATATTTTTACGTATTACGGACGGGCGTGATTGTAGATGCAAATTAAACCAATCACACCAACGCTCCCTGCCACCAAAATTGTTTAATGTTTATCAAACACTATAGTCGGGATCGACCGGGAATCGAACCCGGAACCACGCTCTGCTACCAGTTTGTTACGGCCTACGGTTGCTCCCTTAAAGGATCCAATCCCCCGGGGCCCATCAGCAGAAGACTTCCCGAGCAAACGTAGGTCGGGCCTCCTAAGGCCACGTGGAAGTTCTCTAATTACACTAAATATATGGGGGAGCGTTATACTACGGCCAGTCGACCGGAAGGAATTTGGCGGAGTTCACTTACCTCTATCCAAGGCGACTGGTTCCTCCGGAGTCGGTCAGGTCGCATGTGGTTGTGTAGTGCAAGGGAAAGAATGGTGATGTGGTGTGTATCTGGGTGTGACTGATGGTGATTGAACCTAGACCTTAGCCGTCGGCAGCAGCCCGAGCGTCGACACCGCTCCAACTTGAGGGGGCCTTTCGAGGTTATCCACAGTCACTTTCTTGGTTCACCACGATGCTAGTCACTTAACTCTATCGTACTATTAACTAGCTTACAGAAGCCACTAACTATCGCGGGGTATAAGGTTACCGCACAAAACACGCCCGGAGTTTCTGGGTCAAAGGTCACTACCGTTTCGCGTGGCAATAGATAAATTCTAAATACAGAGGCCGCACTAGCTTATATTGTCGAATGCACTTATACAGATTCTGAGTCGGACCCAATAAGTCCCGGGAAAGGCTATCCAAACAGGGAATGCGCGTTATAATTCCTAGACAGGATATTTACTAGACGCCCTAACTATTCCGCGGTTCCCGCACAAAATTAACAGCGTGCAAACATTAGCACATCCGGCCGATGACTGACTCGCTTGCGACCCGCGCGCCACTGCCAAGCTCGGAAGAACTTCAGACCGGAATCGCGCCGAGCCGAGTGACATCTGGTGTCGATTCCGACAACAGAGTTTTGCGCGAACATCAATATTTGAAAGGATTTAAAATTAAAGTATGATAACTTTACTATTTCACTCAAAACATTTGAATTTTATTTAGATTTAGATTATTTAGAATTTTATTGAGCACACAGTTCGCTCTATTTTCGTTTGAGAATCAAAATGCAGTTACTTTGTCATCCCCGAAGACTGAGATACTCTTAGGTAACTCTTTACCGGTAAAAAGGATCCTCTTATTATCATCCGTTACCATATGAAACAAAACCGATGTTGCTATTTCAAGCCAGCTATTTAATATGGTACTTACAATTTCGAGGACAGACGTAGAAGTCTATAACTGCATGTTGAGAGGCTCACATGCACTTACTCGTTCCATCAGGTAGGGTTTATGCTCATTTGTAATCATTATTATATAAAAAATATAAAACGGATATATTTAATAACACCATGATTAAATAAAATTGAAATTAGATTTTTTTCAGACATGAAACGTAGTAATTCTATTCTGATACAATATCTGTTTTTAAAAAGCTGTTTGTAATTTCAACGCTCACCGCTGTAACAAACTGCTAAAATAGAAGTAGACTGTATAACACACATTCTACAGGTTGCCTTGTGACACTTTCCCGTACTGTCGAGAGCGCAGAAGACAAGTTAATAGTTAAAACTGAAATTAAAATTTTCATTTATGCTGACACCTAGGAACGTACTTAAGTTGATTGTTTGCTTGTCATGACTTTTAAGGCGAACTTATTGTATATTTATTCGAGACACTAATGCTTTATAATCGAATAAAACTCATACAACATGTAACCTTTTATACGTGGTAGAGCCATGCTGCAGCTATAGTAGTAGTATAGTTGTAGCACGAATGCGTCGGCTCGACCGGGGAAGGACCACGCTCTCACAGAATACCAGCGTAAAATAGCAGTTTAAAACTGCTGTGTTTCGTATGGTGAGTGTAGAGAACCGCAGACACTTTTTACTGGCAAAGAGGCATTCCATATTAGTCCTCACGGGCGACAACGCATATGCATTTTGATTCGCAAGCGAGGATAGATGTAGATGTCTATGGGCCACAGCAACCACTTACCATCAGGTGGACTGTGTGCTCGTTTGTCACCCTATCCTATATAACCTAAAATATATTTTTTATTTTCCAGACAAAAAAATTGTATAAGAGTATTAAAATTATAACTTACCTTTTCCAAATTAAAGAATTTCATCGTTTCTACTTCTGCACACGTGCCGAATTGTAGTATTTGATTGTGGCACAATTTTGAATTTACTAATACAAACATTAAAATAGTGAAACAATTTATATTATACATTTTGTTAAAATTCTACATGCGACTGTAGTAAATTTTTGATAACGGAGACGAGATCATCGTTATCGATCGATAGAATATATCTGTTTCATTGAACTGCATTGCGGTTTATCTGATAGTAAAGATAGTTTTGGTAGATAGAGCCGCGGTAGTTCAGGGCCAAGCGCTCGCTGTAAACTTCAGAGTACGTTAGCAACCCGGGTTCGATCCACGCCGGCACCAATCAAATTGTTAATTGCAATTTTAAGTGCTAATTTACCACGTGCTCGGCGGCGAAGGAAAAAATCGTGAGGAAAGCTGAATAAGTGAGAAATAAGAAAAAAAAATTAGATACGATCTTATGCGACAAAACGTTGGAATCTTGATTTTTAGGCGCTAGTAGAATATACCTACGCGCTATGCGCTAGGCATGCAATATTTCGAAGTCATGTGATATTCGCCAATACGCATTGGGGCAGTACAGCGGGCATTTCCTTTCCTTAAAACCCTCTAGTTGAGGCCTGTGACCAGCTGTGGGACGTATATAGGTTGTAATTTTAACTTTTAAATATAGTTTTGGTGCACAGTTTCATGTTTTAAGAAGATGTTATTGATGCTCATAAGATTGTTAATACAGCTGCAACATTGAAGTTCAGTTGCCTTGAAGTATACATAATAATAGACGTTTTTATCTCACATAAAGAACGGAGGAGGTTCTAAATTCCGTCTTTATAAAGTAGTCTAATAGTTAAGAATACGAACTGCGAAACTCAAAAGTTGTAAGTTCGTTATTAAAGTTAACGGCGAAGTGAAATTATTAGTGGTATTAATTGCAGGTATCTTTTTAAAAAAAAAGGCTTATACATTTCCCACTACTGGGCTGTCTTATACGTGTGTGTAAACTTAACCTGTCTTTGTATTGATATTTTTAGAGATATCAAGGTATTTCTTTACGATGATTACTTTCACTCAGCGCATTAGCACGTATAACTGCACTTAAAAGTTGCAGTAGTGCCGGCGGGGATCAAACCAGACTGCGTTTACTCCCGTACTATGAAATTTTAATGCAAACTTTTCCCTAAGCTACCACGGAATACCTTGTTCGGGCCCCGCCTGCACCAATAAAAGTGTTAATTGCAATTTTAAATGTTCATTTACCACGTGCTATGGAGTGAAAGAAAAGATCATGAGGAAACCTGCATGTCTGAGCATTTCGAGGTCATGTAAAGTCCGTCAACAGGCATTTGCGTTCGCGATCCGCGTAGTGGACTAATTCACTCCATTGCTCTAATTAAATGAATAAAATGAGGATAAGCTCAAACGAAATGAGAAGTGGTTAGTTAGCAGTATGGTGTTAAATATAGGCGGTTAACATACTACACTAAGTTTTAATACATTTAATAAAAATTTATCGTTGTGAATAATCTGTGGATAAATATTGACAACAACAATAACAATAAAACAAATAAAAAAGGGGTATTATAATTTTAAGGAATACATGAATGAAAATAATCCTTCGCAATGAAGTGATCACTACTATGCTAGTTCTGTTATAATTCATATAAAAAATGTACCAACTTATTGTGAAGTTATAAATATATAAAAAGATATATAATCCCATTGGGTTTCTTGTATGGTTATTCCTAGGACAGAGATATGTTCAGAACCAATGGAAAACAAAAAATAATATTTTTAATAAGTTCTATGTAATAATCTATATTGAATAAAAATTTATCCATTCTAACAAACATTGAATATTTAAAAAATTTGTGTACCAATAATGTCTAGACATCTCTGTAGAGATAATAGTATTCTGTGGTTTAGACTGAAATTTGACATTATGAAATTATGAAATATTTATGAATAAAGAAATAATTATGAAATTAGAGTTTAAACTAGAGATTGTATCTGAATACTCTAAGACTCCCCGATGGCATTTAAGGCATCGCGCTCCATTTTTCCCAATAATGCTTCATTTAGAGGTAAAATACGTGTATCATGGATGGTGGTGTGTTTTTCCTAGTTTAAGTGATAAAAGTGGTAATTGGGGATAGTTGTGTTATGTGCAGTGGGGCTAGGTAGAGTGACGGCACTGGTTGTGCACGTGTGTACACAACTGAAGGATAGCGAAAAGTGCTCTTTCAATTAGATTGTGTATTACGCAAACCATTTGTATGCGGATCTCTTGTGATTAATTTTCACACGGTTAACATAAATTACTTTACAGACATTTAGTCAGTGCCTTTTTATCTGTTATTAGCAAACTCGGCAGACAATGCTCTAGCCATTACTTTCACACCGAATTCATTCCAGACTTTTTAGAGAGTAAATATAAAAAAAAAAATAACTTGAACATAGCGTCACCTATCTGGTCCAGACAGATTACCTTTTTTGGCACTAAACTAAGGCATATATTGTGATTATGAGTAATTTTTAACAAATTTTACGGATTTGAAGAAATAAAAGAGAATTGGTTTATTTTATTACATCATTGATTTTATCGCGTTTAATTTCAGTTATTTTTGATTTCCGAAGTTACTAGTACCTTACAGCACGCCAGACAGAAATATTTCGGGAATTAAAAGAAAGTTATTAAATGTGATAAAATCCGTAATTTTAATTTTATTCAATACTATTTAATATTCGCGTAAATACAAGAAATCATGAAATATTTGTTGTTTATCAACTAGGTAAAACTCTTAATAAGGTCGATTGCACGCTAATAAATACTTAAATGCTTACTGTAAAATCACTTCATTGTTTATTTATTTCCGTGCATTTTTTTTATAATGCGGAACTTGTAATAAAGTAATTAGAGAATCCGAAGTAAAAACCTTTTATATAAAAGGCGTACCGATTTTTGTCACGTTGCAGTTGATTTGTGGCATCAGTTTGTACTCTTCTCACTATTACGTTATCACAAGATGTTGTTTTATTATTTAACTTTATTGCTATTTACACTAAGCGTAAAATGTGCCGTGCAAAACGCGAGTTGTCCAATTATTAGATCGCGTGAATTGGATTTGAAAGAAGTGAGTTGTTTCGTGTTAATACAGCATATATTTTTTTTATTTAAAAGGAATTTAAGGCCAGTATATTATGTATTGCTTGTTTTTAAAATTTATTTTGAAAACTGAAAACCTTACTTAAGCTTTGAGTTTATATCTACAATATAATTTGTTATAATATTAGTGATTTGTATTATAATTTAACTGACTTTAAAAATTAAAGATATTTGAAATCGAAGCTATCACAAAATTGAATATTTATATTATATTTCAATTAATTAAATAACAAATATTTTTATCTTTAAATAATAAAATATAATTATCAAAACAATTTTTGCACTATTTCTATTTTCTACCGACTTCAAACAGGAGGAGGTACTCAATTCAACTATATATATTTTTATGTGTACCTCATAACTTCTTTCTGGGTGAACCGATTTCGATGGTTTTTTCTTGAAAGTTGGTGCGCACAATGGTGGTATCATGTAAATTTGATCAAGGTCTGATCAAAGTTTTTGGGTTATTCTTAATAATTTATATTGAAGTCGGTTGTACAAAATTTTTAATTTTAAATTATTTAATGTAACCTGATGTTTAGTCGATGCAGAAACCCAATGTGACCTTCAACTTACATTAATTAACATAATGTGATTGCCTTTTAGCAGCTATTTTAAACTAATTTATTAGTTTTTTGATAGTATTCGATTCGACTGTATTGAAGTTGAAACTTTTTTACCGCGGTCAGCGATTTTCTGTAGGGGACAAACTTTGGGTTCGCGTCACCGATGACCTCGATCTCGACGAGCATGTCTCATAAGTAGTATAACAACTTCTGTACATGTATATGCATATATCATTGAGTATTCACTTCTGTCAGCAGTCCTTATGACTGCCTTTGTTTTTTCATGTGTGTTACCTCAGAACTTTTTTCTAGATGAACCGTTTTTGATGACTTTTTTTTTAATTTGAAAGATGGTGCTTCTTATGTGGTCACATATAAATTTGATCCAGATTTGACTAGTAGTTTTTGAGTTATCCTTAATAATGCGTATTTAATTGACTTCGATTAAATTGATGATGTTCTCATTTTATTTATATTGAAGATGGTTGTAAAAAATAATTTTGCCACTTGTTTCTAATTTAATCTATTTAGTAAATAACTTACCATCTCAATAATTAAGAACAGACAGTGCCCAGCTTTTAAAATAACAATTATATAATCTATTTTTTTAAATACTAGTAATGCTATTAAACATGACTAATATTCCCTTAAACCACTTCTCGTAAGCTTAAAATGCTTGTGTTAGAAGTGGTAGTCGAATCGTGGATTCTAACTCACGACCTTTCTACTGACGCTACGAAAATACTAATCTATTTTTATTATTGTTCTAATCGACAGCTGGATGGCAAGTGGTATGTAGCGGCGGTAGCAACTGACCTTGACATTCAAGGCGACTGCGCTATGGTTCTGTTCAATCACAAGAATGACAATACTACCGATGTTTCAATTAGTTGGATTTCTAATAATACCTTCAGCTACTACAATGGCTCAGTGGCCCTCACGGTGGACAGCAACGGTACTGGTGATTTGCTAATGGTCACATATACCGGTAATTTATAATTTAATTTAATTTTAAATTGTGACATATATATAGTATTTTATTTATTTTAATTTTTATACACAAAAAAAAAACATACTTATGGCGGACTTATATGTATATATATAATTCTTCTACGTGTGTTTATCACTGAACTCCTCATAAACGGCTGCATCGATTTTGACGAATTTGTATGTGTTTGAGTGGATGTTAAAGATTCACAATTTGGCCCGGAGGTGGCGCTGTAGTCGAGATCTAGAAAAAAAAAGAAATTAAGAAGAAAAATTATCAAACAGCCTACTACCCATCCCGCTTTAAAAGTGCCGCGGTATCTTTATATTTAGACGAGAAAAGAACCAGCCCTGTTAATTCGAAGTCTACCAAACTATCCGTATTGTATTAATGATAATAATTTATGATGCATTAAGGTATATATATACACACACACACACACACACACACATATATATATATATATATATATATTCTGCCTGTGTTAGGGATCAAAAAAATACATATGACATATTATATTTCAAGTCATTCAGTGCAGGTGGCACAATTTTGACAGAAAGTGTACCCGTTTAATTGATTTTGTGTGATTTTTTTTATTTTGATAAAGAACTAACCTCTGGCAAATAAAAAATAAAAATTGCCGATTGCGAAATAAATATACCAGATAATGTCGAAAGTTTTTTTTTAAAAAATAACTTCAGAAAATTCATTTAAATAATATTTTGCAGATTTGATGAATTGCAGTTTGGTATAATTAATTTACTACAAATCTTAAAGCGTTTTTTAACCATTATCAAAATTAAACTCTAATTCTTTAAAAAAATCAATAACTGCTAACAAATCTCAAACAGTCGGATTTCCAATATATCCGTTTCCGGAACTATAACCCATATATTTTTTTATTGTATTCCATTTCCGTATCCAGCTCACATATATAATTTCTGTAACAACCCTAATTAAAACTTATTACGTCTATGTAGTATATACCTAAATTGCCATGGGTTGTTTGGATGAAATTTCTATATAGCAATATTAAGACCGTCTTTTGTTTTTACTCTATATTTGATAAAATATATTGTTATGTATTTTTGATTGTATTGTAAAACTATGTTGAATATAAACGTGTTTTTTCACTGCGAGTTTAACCTGAGACTAATTTGTACGAGTATAGTATTGTTATAAACTTTGAGAGCTGGGACTCAAAATGACTGCACCTTCAATAGCACGCGTATTATATTGCTGTATTGTTTATTTTCAGACCAGAAAACGGAAAAATATTCTTTCCTGGATGTGGATTACGAACATTATGTTGTTATTTTTGCTTGCTATGGTAGTATCGATGGTATGAATAGCACTTGTAAGTATTATCTATTCTTTATTTTAAATTCAAACCAAGAGTACTTTTTTCTTAACCTCTGTTCATTTTTCTATTGTGTTGACTTTTTACACTGCATTGAAACCTTACGGTCCACCTGATAGTAAGTGTCTACTGTATTACATGGCCACTAGAAATCAATTTCAAACAAAGAAGGTTACAAATCCGATGTCACATCTAAGGAATAAGATGGAATGTCTCGTGTCCTGTAATTATATTGGCTCTCTACTGGTATTTGGTGGCAGAGATAGATAGAGAGGCTGAGAAGAGGGTGGGTATCTGCCAAGACGGACAGCTAGGCAAAGAAAGAATCCTACCAAACAGATTTGTTTTGTTATTGTTGTCTCTCATTTATTTCTTTCTATTCTGAGACTGAAACAAATAAATATTAAATCGAAATAACATTAATATCATCATCATCATCATCATTACAGCCCTTCACAAGGCCACTGCTGAACATAGGCCTTCCCCAAGGAATACCACAAAGAATGGTACAGAGCCTGATGTGTTATCGGGTCATCACTCCATTTAGTGGGGGGACGCCTTACACTTCGCCTGCCGGTACAAGGCTACCACTCGAGAACCTTTTTTCCCGATCGGTTGTCGGTTCTTCGAGTTATACGGCTGACGCATTACCAGTTATGCTTACTAATCCATTGGGCTATGTCAGTCACTTATACAGGCAACTGAATAGACGGATTCCCAAATGCATGCGGTGGGACTAACACTAATGTAATGCACTGCAATTCATCAGTTGTTGCAGTTATTCGTAGATAATGGTAGTCAATTACCATCTTCTGACACCATACTCCTTTGCAGTTTTATTTTTTTATTAAAATTCTATTAGGTTAAATTTTGACCACCACAAGTTCAGACTTTCTCGTAAAGATTTTCTAGACCATATTATGTTACACAAAATTTGACATTGTTAAGTTTGATTCGAGATTATCTCTGAATACCAGCCTAAGCCTACGAATAGTTTTCAGCTTTGAAGTTAATATGATGACGTTACAATTATTATTTTACGTGTACCGTTTTGATTTTTTCTCCACTGCGGAGGATAATGTGTTTATCAGCCTATATATGAATGTTAGTTCCTTTGTTGCAATCTAGAGACCAAGCGTGTGGGCCGATCTTGATGATTCTTTCGTCAATCGATTTGTTTTAATATTGTAAGTGTCACTATTTAGTGACATTTTTTACTTTAGTGTTATTTTTTTTGTACGTGGTAGAGCCATGCTGCAGCTATATTTCTGGTATAGTTGTAGCACGAATGGGTCGGCTCGACCGGGGAATGACCACGCTCTCACAGAATACCAGCCTAAAATAGCAGCTTAATGCTGCTGTGTTTCGTATGGTGAGTGTAGAGAACCGGAGACCCTTTTTACTGGCAAAGAGGCATTCCATCTTAGTCGTCATGGGTGACAACGCATCTGCATTTTGATTCGCAAACGAGGGTAGATGTAGATGTCTATGGGCCACAGATACCACTTACCATCAGGTGGACTGTGTGCTCGTTTGTCCCCTATCCTATAAAAAAACCCTATCCTATAAAAAAATGACATTAGTTTAATTTTATTTACTGTAATGTCTTTACATTATAGCAATTAAATTCAAAAATGACCGTGTTTTGTGGCATCCCTTGGGAGAGGCCTATGTTCAGCTGTGGACTTGTGAAGGGCTGTAATGATGATCATGATAATGAATTAGAATTCAATATGGCGATAACCAGACGCCATATTACTTCAAAGAAAAAAGTGAAAGTCGATGATCTATATATTTAGGTATTTTTGTTGTCATTAATGGTATGAGCTCTTCCGGGTCGATAGTACAAATTGGCGTGCCTCAAGGCTCAATTCTTGGCCCCTTTCTGTTTCTTGTAAACATTAATGACATGATAACAATAATGAGTAGGAGAATCTCTGACATAGACGAGGGAGACTTTCATAAGGACCTTACATCAATAAATTGGAAAGAAATTGAGAGTATCGCGGATGTAAATAATCAGGTAGTGCTATTTAACACAGCCATACTTACACTATTCGAAATTCACGCGCCTCTTAGAAAAAAAACGATTAAACATCAGCAATTCCCGTGGCTAACCTTTAATATAAAATTGATGATGAAAAAACGAGATGACGCATACATTAAAATGAGAAAAAGTAAAAACGACATACATATTAAATACTATAAAGATCTAAAAATCTGCGTCAATAAAGCAATATATAGAGAAAAACAAGCCTACTATAATTTTTATGTTAATCGTAATATAAATAATCCCATTTCAATGTGGAAACATATAAAGTCCAATGTTAAGATAAAACCAAAACACAATATCCCGATAGACTTGTTTAATGATCCAAATAAAATAAACGACTATTTTTTAAACGTGCCTGGAAATAGAAACGTCTCGTTGTCATATTTAACGTACTTTGAGTTCCACTGCTGCGTTAATGACATATTTGAGATAAAGGAGGTAAATGAACTAGAGGTACTAAAATTCATTAAAAGTTTAAAATCTAAAGCCATAGGCATTGATGGGATTTCTCTCGATATGCTCCGTATGACCCTTCCGAAAACACTACCAACTATTACTGCTATGGTGAACAAATCCATTAACTCTAACACCTATCCGACATTATGGCAACATGCGTTAGTCAAACCCATACCTAAGAACTCAAATCCTTTGTCTGAAAAAGACCTTCGGCCCATCAGTATTCTCCCCTGTGTCTCTAAAATTATTGAAAAAATTGACGCAGAACAGCTAACCATGTATTTAGATAGAAAAAAAATTCTACCGGAAATGCAGTCGGGATTTCGTAAGAACCATAGCACCACGACAGCCCTAGCTCAACTTACTGACGATGTACTAACCGCTCAAGATGAAGGAAAAGGCACAATACTAGTATTACTAGATTTTTCTCGTGCATTTGACTGTATAAATGTATCCCTTCTCTTATCAAAGCTTCATTACTATGGATTCAGTAGCAGCGCAGTACAATGGTTCGATAGTTATTTTAAAAACCGACTACAAACTGTAGAACTGAGCGATGACCGAGGAACATTAATACGTTCGCAATCAAAAAAAAAAATCAAAGCCGGTGCGCCCCAGGGATCGAACCTGGCTCCAATATTGTTTTCAGTTTACAGTGCCGACTTAGTAAAAAACATTAAGCACTGTAAATATCATTTATACGCAGATGATCTGCAAGTCTACATGTCATGTAATCCGCGTGATACTCAAGAAGTCGTTAATAAAATCAACGAAGACCTCGAAAGTATAGCCGCGTGGTGCGACTCAAACTGCCTTGTACTAAACGGAACTAAATCTAAACTACTATTTATGGGTTCTAAAAATCAAATAAAAAATATATCAGAAAGAGGGGCATGCATCCAAATTCGAGGGGAAATCGTAGAACGTGTAAATGAGATTCGCAATCTGGGCTTACTAATGGATGACAAACTACAGTTTGAGAACCACATACTAAGTACTAGCAGAAACTGCTTTTATAGACTTAAGGTTCTTTATCAAATAAGGGAGTTTTTAAATTCGGATATTCGGGTAAAATTGTGTGACACTCTTGTCCTTTCGAAATTTAATTATATGGACATTGTATATGGCCCGAGACTTTTAGCGCGGTCGCGACGTCTAGTGCAACGTGTTCAAAATGCATGTGCAAGATTTAGTTTTACAATACCGCCCCGCACGCACGTTACCCCTTACATTAACAATGCCAAAATGTTAAAAATGGAATATCGCAGAAAACTACACATGGCAACTCTCCTATTCGGGGTATTAAAAAATAAAACACCTCCTTATCTTGCTGACAAACTCATATGGTCACGTGATGTAAAAACTTACAATACACGCACTAGAGGGAATACTCTCGTCGTGCCTCGTCACCGAACTCACGCTTTCCGAGGAAGTTTCAAATACGCCGCATCCAAGTGCTGGAACGATATACCGCCTCCTTTGCGAAATCTGAAAGCAGTACACACATTTAAAAATAAATATAGAACACAATTACTGCAAAGTCAGATTAACTTTGGTCAAAGTTTATAACGCTTTGCACGATTACGTACCTCATCGTCATAGATTATTAACAACGGAGCATTAAAATCGTCCTTTTGAATGCGGTTTTTTTTTCTTATATACTTTTATATTCTTCAATAATTACATATTTTTTTTACTAATTATCTGGTCATTTTATTATATAGCACTTTATAGTATTTTAATAATTTCCCTTTTGTAGTATATAGCCCATTATAGTATTTTAATAATCTCCCCTTTTGAGTGTTCGTATAGCCCTTCTAAGAGCGTCTGAAAGCAACATAAACGGGACGTGCTGTGTCGAAGTGGCATTCGACCTTGAACTCTACTCTCTCCCTCTGACTTAAGATAGTTACTGTTTCTTTCCCCCTTGTTGTGCATAATTCTGTCATGAGTATACGTATAGCACTGATTTCGGTAAGTCACTGGTTGGACACACTGAAAATCAGCGCCATGGAGAGAAAAAAAAAATTCATGGCATTATGCTGAGTGTGCTCCTGTTCCCAGATGACGCCTTGACACATATGAGTATTGGTATTGTATAGTTTGTAATATGTAGTATATTGTAATTTGTATTGTATAGCCAATATTATTTGTAAATTATGTGTTTCTTTTTTATATTATCTGTGATGGCGTCATTTTGGAGAATAAACCTTTCTTTCTTTCTTTCTTTCTTCTTAATGACTTATCTTACATAGTAGGGTATAACCATGTTGTGGTATTATTTGCTGATGACACTTCAATTTTCAAATTAAAACGACGATTACAAAAATATGACGAAGTAAATAATGCTATATCTAAATTAGTAAATTGGTTCAATGTTAATAATTTGCATTTAAATGACACTAAGAGTAGGTAATTTTTAATGAGGAGGAAGTGAGTTTTGTCGATACCACCATTTTTCTTGGAATCACACTAGACACGAAGCTTC